TTGATCATTGGTCATCAATACCACCCCTGAATTTGGGGACACAAAGCAGACATTGAGAGTGGCAGCCAGGCTCCAGCACCCTGAGCATCATCCTGGAAACAAAAGTCAAGTTTGGCATCAGGCTGGGAAAAGCCAGAGGGGTTTGTGAGTATCCCTGTGCTCTGAGGAAGATCCTGGCTCGGGGTTCTGCCAGCAGGCAGGGCTGGGGTCACACGTTGGGACAGGACAAGGGAGGTTTGCAGCTGGACAGGTGTTGGAGCAGAGTTTAAATCTTAATGTAGTAGTAAAAATGTAAGTAAGCTGCCCCTGAAATTGGGGAAGGGGCAGACAAGCAGCGCTCTGGGGAATTGTGCCAAAAGTGGACAGGGTTGGGCAAAGTGCCACCCGTGCAGTGTGACAGGAGCAGGGCAGCAAAGCTGAGGGCAGCTCTAGGGTAGGGGGTGCACACGGCCGCCCAGGGTCTCAGCTGAAGAGTTTCCTTCCATTTTTAACAAGGAATCAAAGCAAACAAGCCTTCCCCCCTGGCTGAAAGCACTGCAGCAAAGCCTCTCTGGAGCCTGAGCTGTCCCTGTGCTCCTGCACGGGAGCTGGGTCCTGCTCTATCTGCTCTGACACCTGCCAGGGAGATGAGAGGGACCGTGCCTCTCCTGGAGACAGCTCCCCTCTCTGCACGGCCCGGGGGCTTTGTCCTGGACGTTCCTGCTCTCCCTGGGCTCCAGCTCTCCCAGAGGCACGTGCCAGGCCTGGCAGAGGACCTGGGCATGTCCAGGCGGGCGAGTGTGGCAGGGCACGAGCAGGAGGTGAAGCCAATTAGCTGAAAGAGATGAGAGGCTCAGCTGTGGTTACAGCCACGTGCAGGGGAGAGCAACTCGTGGCCCGAGGCATGAACACGGGCTCAGGGACCTGGAAGGAGCTGGATGTGGAGATCCCTGTGGCACCACAGGCTGACTAACGGGAGATGGCATCGATGATTCCGTTCCACGGGAAACCAGTTCCAAAACCAGTCCCAATCCTGTGGTGTCTGGGGAGACTTGGCAGCACAAGTGGTAATGATGAGTACTGCAAAGAATCACAGGAGGTGATTAAAGAGGGGGAGCTGGGAGCTGAAGAGGGGTTGGGAGCAGAGACCCCAGCCCAGTTTGCTTTTCATTTTGGGGGGAGCTGTCCCCTTGCAGAGGCTCAGCTGTGTCACTGCTGTTCCCGTCTCCTGTCTCGTCTCGCCCACCCCTGCAAATCTGCCTGAGGGCCAGGAGCAGTGACTGCGAGAAGTGAGCTGCAGAAAGGGGAAAAAAAAAGGAATGGAGTAGGTGGAAATTCATGTGTGACTGTGCGAGGTGCAACGCAGCAAGGAAAAGTACTGTTCCTCTCTGAAATATCTATATCTGAAATCGTGTTCGCGGGGAGCTCGTGAGGCTCGGCGGAGCGAGCGCTGCCACCCCGGGGGTGTCACTGAGGTGTTTGCTGCAGTCACATGGAGAAGTGTCAAACAAGAATACACCCACAGCATGCTTCAGGATAGCATGGGAGAAGGGGAAGCCCTTGGTGTCTACCCTAGAGCTGTGTTCACAGCCAAGGAAAGGCCCAAGGTCAAGGATCAGACCTCTTGGAGGGCTGTCAGCACAGCAGGTCAATCAATACACACCCTTTGCTTGACAAAGGGGAATTCAAGGAGGTTCCTTATGATGCTCTAATGTATTATCTGGAGCAGGGTTGTTTTATTTTTGCCATCTACAATGCCTCATCTGTGTCTAGCCCAATAAAAGGAGTTCTGGGAGCAAGCAAGATGAGTGTGATATACAGCCACATAACAAGTAGACCTTGAACATTGCTGCCCGAGGGCAATTCCAAGAAAGCTCCGGTGTAGCTCCTGCATTCTGGCAGTCAGGATGCCTGCTGCTGTCTCCTGGGGTTTCACGAAATGCATTAGTGCCCAAGTTGTGAGACCTGGAGCGGCTTCCACCCTCCCTGCCCCTCTGACACGGCTTCCCCAGGGTGGGAACGCTGCTGGGACGGGGGCAGCTGTTGGAGGCAGGCTCCAAGACCCCCGAGGACAGTCGGGGATGAGGGGTCAGCTCCCTGGCCGGGCCCGGGGTCGCAGTGCGGGGCTGAGCTCGGAGCCAGCCCCTCCGCGGGCTCTGCCGCTCCGAGCCGCCCGGACGGAGCCGGGAGCTGCCGGGGCTGGCTCCTCACCTCCCGCTCCTGCCTTCCCTGACTGCTGAACTTCACCGGCAGAAAGCTTTCCCGGGGGAGAAGGGGCTCCTCTGCCGCGTTAGCCGCGGATGTGTCACGGCAGCCGGCTGCGGAGGTGGAGGATGCTGCGCTCACACGAGGGAGCTGCTCCAGCTGAAAGCTCACTCGGGGAAGGATTGCTGTTTTTCAAACAAACCGGTTGGATCCAGCTGGTTGTGGGACCCACCCAGAGATAACGCTGGGGCTGAGCTGATGCTGCTGCAGGCAGGGAACCCCAGAGTGGTTTGGGCTGGAAAGGGCCTCAAAGATCACCCAGTGCCACCCCTGCCGTGGCAGGGACACCTCCCACTGCCCCGGGCTGCTCCCAGCCCTGTCTTGGGCACTGCCAGGGATGCAGGGGCAGCCACAGCTGCTCTGGGCACCCTGTGCCAGGGAAGGATTTCTTCCCAATATCCCATCTGCCCTCTGGCAGTCTCCCCCTTCCTTCCACAGCCCCCTGCACCAGCAGTTATTTGATCCAGAGTCACCTCATCTAGGTAGAAACTGCTCTCTTTATTTTATTTTATTTTATTTTATTTTATTTTATTTTATTTTATTTATTTTATTTTATTTTATTTTATTTTATTTTATTTTATTTTATTTTATTTATTTTATTTTATTTTATTTTATTTTATTTTATTATATTTTGATGCTGGAGTAGTTTTCTGCAGATGTTCCCTGAGCGAGCGAGCTGTGGGATGTGGGCTGGTGAGTGAGTGAGGGAGAATGTGCTAATGTGTGGTCAAGGACGGCTCAGGGGTGGGAGTGTGGGATTAGGGCAGCCACAGCTCTCCTCTGTGGGAAGGCTGTGTGGGCACAGCCCTGCAGAGGCTGGCAGGACTGGCTGTGGCCAGTGGCACGAGCTCTCAGTGGCCAGGGCTCTGTGCAGTGCTGCTGGATCCCTCCACGCCGTCCAGCTGACCTGGCTCGCTTGGGGTGAGACAACCCAGCTGCTTGAAAGAATAAATCAAAGCAGGCAGACACGGCAGGGATTACAGAGGGAGGCAAGCTGTTGTCATCCACAGGCAGGAGGATGTGGCAGTCTGGTTTGCTTATTTTTCCTTTCAGTGATAAATGTTCTGAGGAATGTGGTGGGATTCTTGGGGTGTCTTGTGCAGGGCCATGAGCTGGGCTGGATGGTCGCTGCTGGTCCCTTCCAACTCAGGATTTTCTGTGATATTCTTTTGCAGTTTGGATGCACATTCCCAGGGAAATGGGGCTGGAAGATGTCCATGGCTGTTCCGCCCCAGTCCTGCTGCCCTGCTCTGCTCCCACATTTGGAACTCAAACACAATGAGTGTCTCCTGATGAATGCAGCCAGAAAAAGGGGAGAATATTCCTCACTGCCTGCCTGAGGCCTTGGATCCAATGGTGTGCGTGGTGCTTCACGTGTGGCAGAGCTTTGTATGGCCTCGATTCTGTGCTCTTCAGAAAATGACAGTCTAGGCATCATCATTTTCTGTGGTTGTGGAAGAGTGCTGAAAAAAATTCAATTTCGAGCCCCAGATATTTGCATCCTCTAAGGCAGTGTCCTATAAATCTAGTTACAGGTTCTTCTCTATTAGCAGTAAGTGCTGGAACACTTTTGAACGTGAACAATGGTGATGGAGAAGGATAAAACCAAAATAGTGCTCCTGTGGCTTTGTGCAGGGTAGAATTAGGGAGCATAATCCAAATAATAACATCTCATGCTTTTATGGGGCTGTGTGCATATGGCGTAAATGACAGCTCATTAAACTTTATATCCTGCCTACAAGATAAGCATGTAATTAGTATTACATCCTTTTTTATAATTAGGAGGCCTCATCCAAAAAAATGTGGCTCACAAGCCATATTTGAAGGCGGTGACTCAGCCTGAATTAGGCTGCGCTGTGAGGATGGAGAGAATCGTGCTTTGAGGACTAAAAAAACAGAGACAAAAGGTTGAGCTGGCGTCAGGTTCCTGCTGGAAAACGCAGGTGGATGAACTTTTGAGCACTCCGTGGGCCGGAGCCCCAGCTCGGTGCGGAGCATCCTGCGGGAGCGCGGTGCCGGTCACGGCGGGGCTGCAGGAACGCCCGGGGCCCGCCTGCCTTCCCCTGCCGCCCGTGGGACGGCTGAGCGGGGCGAACGGGGACTGGCAGCCGCTGGGATTGTTGCTCGGCACAGCCGGGGCACCGGGCACCGCCGGCATCCCTGCTCGGCACAGCCCTGGGCACCGGGCACCGCCGGCATCCCTGCGGCCCGGCCGCTCCGTTCCTGCCCGGGTGCCGGCGTTTTTGCCGGGTTTATTTCTGGCGCTGGCGGTGTGTGCCGCTGTCCTGCCATCAGCCGCCCGGCCCCGCGGCAGGAGCAGCTCCCGGCCGGGAAGGAGGCGGCCAGCCGGCTGCTGAGCCCGGGCCGCGTTCCTGGCGTGCTCTGAAGGAAGCGGGCGGTGGGAGAAGCCAGCGGGGCCGTGTGTGCGGTGACGGCATCCATCATCCCTGAGGGCAGCGGTGATGCCGTGCTCCGGGGGCGATGCTGTTGGGGACACGGCGCAGGGACAGGGCCGCACAGCTCCTCCCGCCGCCGCTCCACATCCAGCCCTCGCAGGAGATTACGGCTTCAGTCTCTCAGACCGCACCGCTAAACCGGGGCAATAATCTCCGGCACAGATGTGCGATGATGGGAGCAGAGCCGTGCGAGCCGCCACCCGGCCGGGCGCGGAGCGGGCCGGAGCGGCGCTCCCGCAGGCCGGGCGCGG